TGTTGCGAGTGAATTACCTCACTTTATGTCCGAGGGTTTATTTTGCTGCCGGGGATGCACTTCAGCTGTGCTGACAGCTGAGCACCAGGGTATTGACTGCGTGGCGAATATTAAGATTGATTCGGCTCGGTGCCGCGCCGCCGGGCCGGGCTGCTCGTGCTGCCCCTTGCCGGCGCGGTGCCGATGCGGTGCCGGCACGGTGCTGACCCGGTGCCGATGCGGTGCCGGCACGGTGCTGACCCGGTGCCGATGCAGCTCCACTCGCGGCCCGCACTGGCCCCCCGCATGTCTCGCGCCTCCGCTCGGTGCCGTCCGTCCTGGCGCTGCCCTCCAGCCCGCGGGGGCTCGGCTGCTGCAGCAGCAGTTCCAGTCACGGCGGACACGGGTCCGCCAGCGCGGTGTTCGCGCGGGGCTTAGCCCGCCGTCCTGCAAGGGAAGCGTGGCCGGCCGCGTGTCAGAGGGCAGCCGAGAAGAGAAAAACAGCCTCTCAGAAACTGGGATTCCTGGCACGGGGTGTTTGCTGAGGCTGCTGCTATTGCACAGGCGAGAGGGAAGCTGACAAGAGGTCTGTGGTTTGAAACGTTTTGGGGTGTTTCGATGATAACTTGTAAGTGGAGATCCTGCCTTTGTGCTCCCGGCAGCGGAGCCAAGTTTGCAAGTTCTCTCCTTTGTAAACTAGCTCTGAAGCAACAAAGAGTGCGGGCCCGAGGCGCGCGGCCCGCGCGGGAGGCACCCATCGATGCTCCCGTGATTGATGGGGACCGGCCCACACCCCACCCAAAGTGTCCCTGCAGGGGACCCTGCGCTGCGCGGGACTCTGCTCCAGCGCAGATGTCTGCCTGCGCTGCAGTTACCGGGCTGATGCAAAGCAAAAGTGAAAATAAATCCCAGCATGTTCTCTTTGGCCTGCGCTCGTCGGAAACGGTTCCAACAATTCCGGACTGGAGGGTAAACAGGGAGATGCCACTAAAGCCGGGAGCTTCCCCCGCCCCCCGGCCTCGTCAGTGTTTTTGGCCCAAATGCATCGGGGGGCTGCAGCTGGGTCACGCTCCCTCGCTGGATTCCGGATAACCAGAACCGACGTGAACCTTGGTGCTGGCCGAGGGAGCTGCACGCGTGGCTGTATCTCTGCTTCCCGGGAGAAGGGGAGCGCTGAGAAGGGAGACTGTAGCCCTTGCGTAAAGTGTGATCACAGTCATGTCTGTTCTGAAATAAGTAGTGCAATCTTTAATTTTTATCACAAATTACCCTTGTGTTTTATATTGCCGTAGTTTTCAGTGCAGTCAGCGAGCACTTGGGGAGACGACAGTAGCAGAAGACGTGAGGACATCTCCGGTGCTGGGGTCCCAGGCGGGTTTCTGGTTCTGCAGGAGCTTCCTTCCCGTCCAGCTTAGGGGGAGGCACTGGAGATATTTTTTTTTTCCCCTGTGAGGTATTTACCATGTACAGAGCAAATAAGTGGTTCTACTGAATGTAGCTTGACATTTCTTTCAGTTTTCCRAAGTGCTGCATAATACATGTAAGAGCTTTACAAATATTAATAGAGTGGTATCTGCATTCCTAGAGGCAACCACAAGGTAGCATGGTTTTCATGAACACAACTAACTGCCACTTGTTTCTTTAATTAGTTCAAAGGAAAAGAGAGACTCAGGTTTTACTGCAGCCCTTCCATACGGACATACGGACATAAGCAAGCGACAGTCTATTGACTGTATTTTGTTATATTTTGTCTGTTCTCTGAGGTGTCACTTGGAAGTCTTAAAGYTACATTCTTAATGCGCAGTCACATCTGTTGCATACCTGTGCAGCAATCTGTCTTCTCGCGTGCCTACCAGGAGGGATCAAAAAACCATTTGTGCCTCTGTGTTTTTTTTTTTTTTTAAATATTTGCTATTGACAGACTAAAAAATCCTTCAGAATTGTAATTTGATTAGCTCTGCATTAATACATTGCTATACCTGAGGTACTGGTTATTCTCATGGAGATAGAAATGAAAATATATGAATTCTTACAGTCTTAAAATGGTAGGGGAATTGCAATTATTTCCCAGTGGAATGACATTATTAAGTCCTGGATTGTGCTGATAGATGATTTGGTTTCGTCTTCAAAAATCAGTAATATAAACAAACATTTATTAAAAAAAAAAAAGAAGTGTGTGTATACACATTTATTTATTTATTTATTAAAAAAAAAAATCCACCAGCTACAGTGATAGCTGCCAACCAAACCCTAATTTACTGTCACCACAAACCCTAAATAGCATTCATTTACTAGTAAAGCCTAATGGCATACATGATGGTTTGCCAGATTTGTGGCCTTTGTGAGGCTTCTAAGCAGGACTGACTTGGGAAGATCATAAAACTTAATGAACTTCTCGACTGCAGGAGGTGTCCGCAGGGGAAGAGAAAGGCCTGCTTGGCTGGTTGGGCTGGTTGAACTATTTTTTATGTCTAAAGAGAGAGGAGGAAAATGTTCATTAAAAATGATCTGCCCTCATGCAGAGTTTTGTTTCAAAGAATGAATTAAAAAAAAATGGATTCAAAAGCCAGGCTAATAGTGAAGTTAACCAGGAAGCTAATTCCTTGCTGTTCCCCATGTAGGCTAAAACCTTTAGTTTTATTGCTACCACTGTACCTCGCCATGCAATGCCATTCCGATGATTAAGGGCTGTATCGTGTGTGCCCTTACTGCTGCAGAGCTCCCTATCGATGGAAATGGACTGATAGTTTGAGAAACGCCCCTTGTCAGTACGCTGCAAAATCCTTAAACTTCCCATTAGTAACCGGCTTTTGAGGGACTTATTTTTGATATTTTTCYGCTGTAAGAATCTGAAAATATTCTCTCTCCCCCTCCCCCTTTTTACTGTGGTTATTTAAAAATTGAATTGGAGGATTGCTTCCTTACATGTTTCAACTTTTCAGTGTGTGCAAACTATCATTCAGTGCCCACAACTTGCAATAATATGTAATATTATGCAATATTAGCAATCTTAACTGAACATTAAAAGATTCGCTTGGAACAATGAAATGGCACCGGTAGTGTGCATATAAATATAGGCATGCACGCTGTGTAAGCTATTTCTAAGTATTAATTGTGCTGATAGTGGTCTTCAGTGTAGCTATTTGCAATTTCTRTATAGTGTCATGTCCTGGTGTTTTTATCAAGCTGCTAAGTGCATATTTTGGATTTACCTTGACTACATAAGGAAGTCAGCATTGTGTACTATGTGCATACATCTTTTCTTCAGTTTAAATTTTTTGGCTTTTGCTGCCTAGCTTATGGCTCAGTATGCTTTTTTTTTTTTTCCCCATCAAATCATTGGTTTTACTTTTGATTTTTTTTTAATTGCCGGTAAGTGTATTCCAAATGATGACGTGCAGTAGAATGTTAGTGCATTTACAGTCCCCTCATGGTAATGGCATTGCTTTTCTTCATAAATGTCCTACCAGGACAAAATAATTTGAATAAAGTATCTGATTGTCATTTTGTCATCTGTTTCAAATACAGTCATCATCAAAAATCTATTTCCATGGTGGATTTCTAACAGGCTTTTTCTGTGGTTAAGAAAACAGGCAGCTTTGGGGATTATTTTYGCTAATTCACGATACTTTGTCCTAGAGAACCTGTAACTACACTTCCTTTACACCACACCGTCGTCAGTGCTCTTTGCTATATTTAAATCACAATCTTCAACTCGAATATAAGGATCTGTGTTTTCATTTTTTTTTCCCCCTTCCGTGACTCTAGTTGTCAATACTAATTTAGAGTAGCAGCAGAAAATTATTTTTACAGCTGTTTTTCATGTGCTTCATTTTATTTTTGAATTTGATACAAACTTGCTTATTCGAAAATATTAAAAGATAGGGGCTACTGTGTGGTGTATTTTAGGATACTCATTGTAAGTTAAGGAATTTTTGCATTCAAAATAAATTCTCATAGTAGCAGGTAATGAATCCAAGAGGATCCTTCCCCCCCCGAATTTAACACATTTATCGAGCTCTGTTCCTTTCTACAGCATTTGGTGAAAGATAGCAAGTTGCATGATGCGGATACTATGCTGTCTTTTTTCAATTCAAATATTGATTTGTGTGAAACATTAATATGATTATATTTGCAGTCTAATGTAGACAAATGCAAGCAGAATTACACATATTAAATTTTCAAATGTAATACAATGTTTAAATACATAAGAAGGCTATATTAATAATTACATAGTAAATCAAGACAGTCCGGTTTGTATCTGTCCTGAATTTTTTAGATTTTTGAGAATGTTTTACAATTCCTGGAGCGTCCTACGTATGACGGTTTGATGAATGTTTTTGTGAATAATCAGAATGGCTAATAAATTTGTGTGCTAATAAGTGGAAAGGGGCGCGAGCGGCGCGGCTGCGGCTGCCTGCTGCGCGGGCGCGGGCGCTGCCGCCGGCAGGAATGCTTTGTTTGTTTTCGCAGCAGTCATGTTTAATGCTATTCGCTTATCAAGGTGATCAGCATGGTTCAGATAACACATGCCTGACACAGCCTGCCTTTTTTCACCATCGTGTTGACCTTTTGTCACATTTGCTTTTCTCTGGTAGGCAATTCATGTCTTTAAGTATGAATGGAGTAAATAATTCACATCAATATTTAATATAAATTATTAAAGTTTCTGTCAGCTCTTATAGTTCATGCTTTTATAAAGTTAGAGTAGTTCATCAGCCAAACAGATGAATTGTGCTTCTCAGCTGGACATTAGAGCTCTTCCATAATGCTGTCTTTACAGGGGAAGTAAACAGGGAATTAAATATGAAAGGAAATGAAGCCTCATACTTGACTGCTATATATTTTTCAAGAATGCACATTCTTTAGAAAGGCTCAAAGTACTAGATAAATACCTATAATAATTTAATTTGTTGTCTCCATATTTTATTTTTGCTGTCATGTTGCATACAGAAATGCAGAAAACCCCGCTGACCCCGGCATTTTCTTTGACTCTTTGTTATTAGCCTTCCCTTCGTGTTCCAGCTACCTTCTGTGGGCTTACGTTGGTCTTACCACTGGGTTTTCCTAATACTGTTTTTCTGTTTTTAAAAATTTATGGAGGGCATTAAGATGATGAAGTTTCAGGGTTTTTTAGTCCTTGCTTATAAATTATGGTTTATATTTTGCAAATAAAGTGATTGKTGATTGAAATAGGCTGAAAATATTTTTTAAAGAAAAAAATGGTCTGAAGCCTGAGTGTAGCAGCTATAATGTTTATTGCTTCAGGAATTTGATAAAAATAGCATGTTTTGCATAAATCATAGTAAAAATCATACTATACTTCCATTTTATAGTTTTTTAAGTATCCCACTTTAAATTCTTTTATTAAAGATCAGTTCAGTGCATATTGTGCAGTCATATGAACTTGTAACAATATATGAATCACTGAATATCACGCRTCCCACAGATCAATCACTTGGAAAGGGGGGTGGTTTGGTATCATGTGTTTACAGGTCAAAACCTTTGACTATACTTAAGTCATGCATCAACATTTAAAGCTAATCTCTTATTCTGTATTGTCCTGCAGGTGGCTTTTTCATATAT